AATTTCAAAATATAGATGTTCAAAATTTGTTCACACGGCATTTCGCATGTAAGAAATGTTGTAAAAATTTGTCCACATGTTCACACTAGCAAGTTTTAATGCAAATTACAAAACGAAAAGTTTTTTTAAAAACATTTTCATCTATCAAATTCTCGAAAAAATCGAAGGGGGAAACTTGAAAAGAGCCGCTTAATCGAAGCTTAAGTAATATGGTATTCCAATTATGAAAATCTCAACTTTATTGCAAAGATTGACTCTTCGTCTTTCCGTTCTCGATTATTTTAAAAATCTGTATAGTAAGACGTACTCCTCATTCTAACAAGTTTTTGTTTTGTCAGAGAAATTTTTTTAGGGAATATTTGAATATAGATTCAAACAAAGTAGAAAGAGCTTGATTTTGGAACCACCCTATAACCACCCAATCAAATTTTTGCATAAATATGGGTGAACAAAAGTACCAGTAGAAAACTCTGTTCACCACTCCGGAACATCAAGTACTGAACATCAAGTCCGGTTCAAGAACTAAAATAAAAAGTTCAAAATAAAACTGCTTAGGACTCTTTTAAATCAACCGTGTTAGTGATTAAATGACACTGCAACCCGATACATAATAAAAAAATATGGGTCTTTTTTATTCTGCCAAATTATTTCAAATTTGCGTGTTTTGTTAAAATTAAAAAATAAATGTAGAGAAAAAATAGTGATTGGACTGAATGGACTGTTTGGTCTGGTTAAAGGAAACGCAATCCCTTGACTTTTTTTCCTGGAGCTAATGTTTGTGTTTTTTTGTCTGGGTAAATTGTAAGGTTTATGTGAAAAAAAATCATGGTTAATTCACCAGACTTTCATTCGTTTTGCTGTTCTTTGTTTTCGTGTATATAGTCTGTAATGTATTAAAATAAGAAATATGAGGTTTATCTATCACGGTAAGAATGAGCAGAGCGTGTTAAAGTCTTTCTCAAGAAATCTCAAATGTTTGGATAAAGATCTCAAACCGCTTCATCTAATTGACTTTGGGCGATGGCATATAATGAGAAGGTTATAAAAAAAATGGTTTCAGCTGAACAAAGTTAAATACTCAAAATTTTCGTCTATTAAATTTATCAACTTGATTTTAGCTGATCAGATTCAACCACATTATTCTCAATTCAAGGTTTCAAGATATAAAAAATTGATTAGCGATGGCTTAATGCATGAGATCAAAGTTTATAAAAATTTCGGGTAAAAAGTTTAAGTCTTAATTGAATCCTAGCAAAAAAAGAGAAAAAAGCAACTGCACTTAGTTCGATTGTAAATTGTAGTTGTTTACTTTTTAGAGAATATTTAAAAGAAAAATAAAAACAAATTCTCACAAAACATGTTTTGACCCAAAAGCAAGAAAGTGTTCAAAAGTCTCAATAGAAGCTTAATTGGCTCTTTTCCAGTTTTCCAGCCCCCTCATAAAATTTCAACATAAAACTGTTCAAAATTTGTTCACACGAAATTTCGCATGTAAGAAATGTTGTAAAAATTTGTTCACATGTTCACACTAGCAAGTTTTAATGCAATTTACAGATAAAAAATTTTTTTTTAAAAAATTTTCATCTATCAAATTCTCGAAAAAATCGAAGAGGGAAACTCTAAAAGAGCCGCTTAATCGAAGCTTAAGTAATATGGTATTCCAATTATGAAAATCTTAACTTTAATGCAAAGATTGACTCTTCGTCTTTCCGTTCTCGATTATTTTAAAAAATTGTATAGTAAGACGTACTCCTCATTCTAACAAGTTTTTGTTTTGTCAGAGAAATTTTTTTAGGGAATATTTGAATATAGATTCAAACAAAGTAGAAAGAGCTTGATTTTGGAACCACCCTATAACCACCCAATCAAATTTTTGCATAAATATGGGTGAACAAAAGTACCAGTAGAAAATTCTCTTCACCACTTCGGAACATCAAGTACTGAACATCAAGTCCGGTTCAAGAACTAAAATAAAAAGTTCAAAATAAAACTGCTTAGGACTCTTTTAAATCAACCGTGTTAGTGATTAAATGACACTGCAACCCGAGACATAATAAGAAAATATGGGTCTTTTTTATTCTGCCAAATTAGTTCAAATTTGGGTGTTTTGTTAAATTTAAAAAATAAATGTAGAGAAAAAATAGTGATTGGACTGAATGGACTGTTTGGTCTGGTTAAAGGAAACGCAATCCCTTGACTTTTTTCCTGGAGCTAATATTTGTGTTTTTTTTGTCTGGGTAAATTGTAAGGTTTATGTGAAACAAAAAATCATGGTTAATTCACCAGACTTTCATTCGTTTTGCTGTTCTTTATTTTAGTGTGTACAGTCTGTAATGTATTAAAATAAGAAATATGAGGTTTATCTATCACGGTAAGAATGAGCAGAGCGTGTTTAAGTCTTTCTCAAGAAATCTCAAATGTTTGGCTAAAGATCTCAAACCGCTTCATCTAATTGACTTTGAGCGGTGGCATATAATGAGTAGGTTATAAAAAAATTGCTCGAGATTCGAGATTTTGGAAAAAGTTCGTACCATGCTTCGGGACGGTAAGTTTCAGATGTCAAGTTTCAAAAAAAACATAAATTTAGGTATTAGGTTTTCCTTTTTTTTTGTAAATTAATTGAAATGCTCAGTCAATTTTTGTCTGTTCTAAGCTAAACTCAAACAAGTTGAAACTATGCTGAAAAAATTTGAATCATCAAAAACTCAAAGTTACTGAGAAAAAAAAATAACAAGGTAAAGTATATACATCATTACTGCAAAACTTACAATAAATTATAAATTGCATAGAAATTTTTTTCATAAATATTGTGAAAATAAAATCAAATCTAGCTTACATCAAATTTTTCGAATTTTTCTGAATGCTTATAAATTGCGCAAATTATTGTTTCTTTTGAAATTTTCGCTGAACTGTTTGCTGATATGTTTTTGTTAACCAAGAAAAGTCGGTTTTTGCGTCCCCGTAGAAATGGCCAATCTTAAAAATCGTACAGTCTTCTTTTCATGATCTTCTCTATCATTACATGGAGCTTGATTTATCAATGCGAAAACAAATGCCTTGTTAGCTGAGGGTTTTTTATCAGCTGACTATGGCTTAAAAAAATTGAATCCAAATTTTTTCAAATTTCTGCACAAGTGAAAAAATATTCTTTTTTGCAAAGTTTTATAAAAGTATTGAAAGCTCCCAATTGAAAACAAAGTTGATTATTTTATCTTGCTTTTGTCTGAACGTTGATACGTTTTTGTTATTTCGTTTTTCAGGTGAAGAGAATTCAAAATTACAAAAACACATGACTCTTTTAGCTTATGATTTTTACGAAAACTAATCTGTTTTCATGACTGGAGAAGAGTTTGTGATATTCAAACGCACAAGATTCACAGTTAACTTTTTTATACATCTGAAGATAGCTTAAATCACTAGAATAATTACAATAACAAGAAAAACTAAAAGAAATTTCTCACTGAAATAAAATTTCAGAAAAATTGATCTATTTTAGCGACTGAAAAAGAAAACTGAAGAAAAGAAAACCCACCGCGAGCACAACTATTCCCTCACTTTCGTTACGAAATTCGGAACAGTTTTCTAGTTTTTGATCCATTTCAATATTTTTGATGTTAAAAGAAACATTAATGACTATGTGAAAACGAGTATTCGGAAGAAAATGGATTACTAAAACAACCCTAGAAAACATTGTTATCGAGATTTTTTTTTCTCAACGGATCTCGCAATAAAACGCTATTGAATTCGTTTTGCATCTTGTTTAAAATAAACAAAGCACGAGCAGCCAAAACCCAGCTTTTCGAAACAAATATAACGTGTGTGACATCTGGTATCTTTTACGATAATAAAAGGAACAAATACAAATTCAGCAGTGAAGGACTGAACAAATGAGCATTGGAAGACGCTGGAGATAGACCGATGGCCAATAAGTTGACAGTTTTTGTATAAGGATTTCAATCTAAAATCATATAATGGCCACTCGAGAACAACCTAAGACAAGACTGAGTGTTTTTAACCCAAAAAAGAAGTAAATTCATCTGAGGCTCACTTTTATCAAAAATTGTATGAAGTTTTCAAAACAATGTTGCTTAAACATTGCTTCTATACTCTACACAAAATTCTCTGTAGCTCAATGTTAGCCTATTTGTTTAGCTTATGTTTAACATTTAGATAATTAGCGCTGAGAAAAATTTGCAAAAACTTGAGAAACTCTGAGAAATTTTCAAAATGTTCAAATTCTTCTTATTATCGTCATGATACACAAACTTTATAACCATTATCGTCATCCATTTTAGACTCGATGACATATTTTGATATAAGGCAAAACGATGATTGAGCTATGCATTATCTTGTTTAATGATAAAGCATTCCCTTTCTTAATTGATTGGAGTTTTGAGAGCCAAAACCTAAAATTGTACCATCCTAAACCTTTTATCCTAATACATTGGGGGAAAATAAACCCTAAAAGATACTAATAGGACAACAAGCAGCATCTGACAGTGAGTACCTCAGAAATGCTCGGAGCTAACTTGAATTTGTATTTGTGTGTATAAAACCCCAAATACTTGAATGTAAAAAACACCAGGTATATCAGAAATATGATAAGTCAGCGCGGGCATTCGTCAACTAAACTGATTATTCTGTTTGAAAACTAGAGGATCTTACTACCATTATTGACGTCTATTTTTACTAGCTAAACACAAAAAGTTAAACCTGACTCGCGTTCCCTGCTCCTCAAAACCTCAAATGCTTGCATCAAATTCCAGCCCAAAGTTTTTAACAGGTTTCGCTAAATGTTGACGCAGCGCAAAACGTTGGTGGTTGGGTACTTTTATGGTATTAAAAAAACAAGAAAAAACAGATTGACTAAACATAAAAAAATATATTTGTATATCTATTTTTTTGTTAGAAATCTTTGCAACGCCACTAAGCATTGATTCAAGAGGAAAGAATCTTACAAACTATGCATTGATTTTATGTAATCAGATAAATTGTTTCAGCAACTGCTATGGTCACGGAAACTGCAATTCGGTAACTAACCAGTGCGAATGTGACGACGGGTACAATACTACGAACTGCGAGACGCTCACTCCCCCTCCAGCCACTGCTCCCCCTCCAACCACTGCTCCCCCTCCAACCACTGCTCCCCCTCCAACCACTGCTCCCCCTCCAACCACTGCTCCCCCTCCAACCACTGCTCCCCCTCCAACCACTGCTCCCCCTCCAACCACTGCTCCCCCTCCAACCACTGCTCCCCCTCCAACAACTTCTCCCCCTCCAACCACTGCTCCCCCTCCAACCACTGCTCCCCCTCCAACCACTGCTCCCCCTCCAACCACTGCTCCCCCTCCAACCACTGCTCCCCCTCCAACCACTGCTCCCCCTCCAACCACTGCTCCCCCTCCAACCACTGCTCCCCCTCCAACCACTGCTCCCCCTCCAACCACTGCTCCCCCTCCAACCACTGCTCCCCCTCCAACAACTTCTCCCCCTCCAACCACTGCTCCCCCTCCAACCACTGCTCCCCCTCCAACCACTGCTCCCCCTCCAACCACTGCTCCCCCTCCAACCACTGCTCCCCCTCCAACAACTTCTCCCCCTCCAACCACTGCTCCCCCTCCAACCACTGCTCCCCCTCCAACCACTGCTCCCCCTCCAACAACTTCTCCCCCTCCAACCACTGCTCCCCCTCCAACCACTGCTCCCCCTCCAACCACTGCTCCCCCTCCAACCACTGCTCCCCCTCCAACAACTTCTCCCCCTCCAACCACTGGTCCCCCTCCCATTCCGTCTTCAGATGACGACGATGACCTATACAATTACAACGATTTTGATAGAAACAATTATAATGGCGGATTAGACGACGATAACGTAGGTCCAATAATTGTCTTCACCATCGCTTTCATCGTAGTCGTTGTCCCAGTCTGCATCTTGGCTACACTGGGTGCTCTCATTTACTTCAAAATCAGATTTTTGTAAATTTAAATGGGCCAACAAGCCGTATGGCGACCGAATTGAAAATAAAAATTTAATGCGCATTACACTTTCAGCATCAAAGTATAGAACGACTCGTGGCAGGTTAATATAGTGGTGTGTAAACTCGGCGGGGTCCTCAACAAAGATCCAGGGGACAATCCCCCAAGGAAACTTTTTCATTTGAAAATTGGGCTTTTTTCAACTTCTCTCCCCACATTCGAAATTCAGTTTGAAAAGCTTTTTGTCGTTGTCAAATCATAATGCAATGGTGCAAAACCGAACAATCGTGAGCATGTTAATTCTTCATCAGTGAAAAAGAGTCGAACATTTTACTGAATAAAAAAACCATCTCCCGGCTAATATTTACCTCACTTTTCTTCCAAAGTCGGAACAATAACATTACCATTCCAGCAAGCCAAAAATTAATATTGTTTTGAAACATAAAAACGGTGTCAGTGTTGTTATGAAATTGTAACTTAACTAGGATGTGTTTTGCTTACAATGTTTGTTGATATGGCTGTTAATTGAACCTCCGCATATGTGAATATAAATACAAAATTATCTTTTCAATACCACATGATGCTAAATTTGTACATACTGATGAGTTTCTATTACAAAGCAGATTGGATTAATTGAAAATACACTCTTCTATTCGATCAAAAATCAAAATTAACATAAATTCGATCAAATAACCTATCTGGCTCAAACTAAAAGAAATGTGAGATTTATGTGTGACAACTAATGTATATTTTACTGAAGCTCAAAAATTATGAGCATTGTGTTGTTTAAAAATTATTATTAAAAGAATTTTGGTTGTCAGCTTGTTTTTACCAGCTTTATCAAAAGAATTAACAGTTTCTGGTAGTCAATCAGCACGGAGGCCTAACCCGGATCTTAAATTTTTAGGCCGTCAAGAGCGCATACTTTGACAACAGCGCATATTAAGATATGACCTACATGGAAGAGTTTACCTTGCACAATGCAGCGCATATGCGCTTTAAACCATCAATCAAAATGTTTGTTTTATGTTGCGGAGCTCTACACCCGGGTTGATCTCCATAGACTGAAAATGCTTATCATGCATTTCCAAAATTTAAATCTAAGAATAAGCTGATCAAGCAATTATCATAAA